AATTCTAAGTACTACTAGAGATAAGAATATAAGTAGATTTATTAGATTAGTAAGCTATAGTCTTTAAAATAAATATATTCTATTAAGCTTATTATAATCTGGATTAGAATAGAAGCTAATATAGAAGAGTATTAGATAGGGATATAAGATATATATTAAATTCCTTAGTATTAGAAGTAATATTAATAGTATAGATCTATAAGTAAATTATATACTTAGTAGAGGGATAATTAATAGAATATTATATAGATTAGAATTAGAAGAGATTAGAACTAGATATAGATTTACTTTTAAATAGGAGATCTTAAGATTATAATACTTATAGTAGGATTTAGATTAAAAACTTACTATAGAGTTAGTATAGAACTAATCTGAAAATAGATAGAAAACTTATTAAACTAAAGAGTATAATAGGTAGTATATCTATTAATAGCTATACTACTAATATACTATTAGTAACTAATTCTAGAATAGTAAGAACTAGAAAAAACTAGAGACTAGACTAGAGATAAGATAGAGAAGGAGAGAATAGATTAGATCTATATAGTAGTAGAGAGTAGAGAGTAAGATAGAATAGAAGAAGTATAGAAATAATAAAGAGTAGGATCTACTCTGAATCTTATTTATATTAGAGTTAATATAGAGAAAAGGGGGGATTTATCTAATTATCTAGTTATATAAGGAAGAAAGAGAAGAAAAGAGAAAAAGAAGTTAAGGGGAAAGGAGATATTTATAAGTATAGGAGAGAGTATAAATAATCTAAGTAATCTAAGAACCTATAAGGAAAATATACTAAATACTAAAAAGTTATATAAGTAATAGTAAATATATAAGGAATCTATATTATAACTAATCTAAACTAGTATAGTAACTATATCTTTCTAATCTATAACTAAAAAAGTTAAATAGAGAAGAATATAAAGTTAAGGAATTAAGCTAGAGCTATACTAACTATATATAGAGAATAGATTAGATAAACTAAAAAATAAAGATAATAAAGAAATTTTACTTAGATAACTTCTAAAAAGAAAATTAAAGCTAGAAAGTAGGAAATAAGGCTAACTAATTAGATAATAGGAAAAATATTCTCTAAATTAATTATTTAAAGCTAATTATAAGAAGTTAATTCTAAGATAAAGCTAAATTATATTCTATATAGATATAAGTTAAAGACTACCCTATTTATACTAACTAGTAGGTAAGAGCTAAGATAGAAATATAGTAGATAAATAAAGAAAGGTAGAAAACTAGGAGCTATATTAGTATCTAAATAAAGCTATAGAGAAAATAAGCAGAATAAGGTTTTTATTCTATATATAAGGTTTTCCCTTATTAGAGATTAGATAGAGGGACTAGAGACTAGCTAGACCTAGTACCTAGGGTAAATAATAAATAAACTAGATATAATAGGCTTATAGAGAAAAAAGCTTTATTATAATACTAAAGCTTAGAGAAATAAATTCTTCTCTAAAGGTTTGCTAAGAGATTTACTCTTTTTATTAAGAGAGTTTTATCTAATTCCTATAATAGTAATATAGTTATATAATCTTATTACTTGTCTATTTAATCAGAAGGCTGCCATCACTAAGTGTCAAAACAAGAAGGCGGACACTGAGCTCAAGAAGGACACAATTCGTTGTGCGGTTGACGGCGATGGCTGGGTGAGTTGTGCCCGATCCCACGGAGAGGAGCCAACGAGGCCGAACATACCCAGGGCGACAACCCCAACGCTAAGACGTCGTTGCTTCCCAATATGTATCTGCGTCCCTGCTTGTATTTCTCTTTGCAAATACTGACCTTATCTATTGATGACGCTTGGTCGTTGATCATTTCACTGGTCGTGCCGTAGGCACTTATGTCTCTCTCATTGAACATAATGCTGCCAAATTCTTTCAGTCATGAGAATCCCTCGTTACAATCTATAAAGACCCTTGTGTAAATCATGGGTCCGTTTTATTTGATGATTTCGAACGTACCAATTAACCCAACAAGGTTTCTCGTCAGAATAAGTCCTTACCTAGCCCAGAACCACCCACAGCCTCCTACTCAACCTCAGAATTTTTGTCTATAGCATTAGGTTCGACTTCCCACCCAAGCAAGAGGCCTGGAATCATGTATAGTTCTAAAGTGGAACCCTCATGCTTAAGAGCACACGTGAACTTTTCCGAGGCTCTGTCGTAGACTTCAGCTTTGAGAGAGAGCAGGGATAGGCTTGGCCTGTCAAGCACTCCCTATCCTCGTTGTATACTGAGTAGGGATATGATCCTCCTATGTGTTCGCGGCATGAATAGGCGGTGGTCGTACGGGCTACCGTGTTTTCATGCTGCTGATGTCCCGGACAGCCCGAGCAAGTTTGCCCACGCTTCCGCTAATGTGGGTTTCCGCATATGGCAAAATTGTTCTTGCTGTAGTCTTGTCGTGGCCGCTGAATATCAAATCCTTGGCATGCAAATTCTACCCAGCTAAGCAGCCAAGTAATACGTAAGAGAAACTGAGTATAAAGTTAAATGCCAATGGAAGATGCCAGAGCCCGACACCTCAACACAATGAATACGAAGAGCTAAGTAATAAGCCCTAATTTTAGCTTTTCCTTGGCCACCAACTTAGTATTTTATGTCGAAGCTAAACAGCCGATTTTGAATTTACAGCGAGTGCAGAAGGTATACTCAAAAGATATGAAACTACCAAATACCCCGCGAGACACTTGACTGCTGAGTCCGCAAAATCTTCCGCTCGGAAAGACCTCGAGGCACATGGAGTTATCTAAAGGCTCAAAGCCTGTCTTTCAATAATGGAACCGAGAGAGTGGACAAGGGCAGCAGTCCGACGGCCATCCTTCGTAGGAACGCCTGAGTGGGTAGCTGGTAGGACAAGCAACTCGCACACGCCTCTCGGAAGGCTCCCCCGCGGCCTCCTAATTGCCATTATGCAACGCCTCGATGACCCAGTGGATGTCTACATGGTACGGCAAACATGTTTTATATTTGCGTCCGCATTTTCCGACCACGCGTTCGCGGCTTACCACCACCCTCGACTATGGTATTACAGGAGCGAGAATTCTTCGCGGCTCATCGCTTTCCATGTATCACGGCACACCGTGAGTCCTCAACAGAAGGAACGCATGATGGAAATACTGTGTCGGGAAAGCTTGGTCTCCTACTGCCAGGATTGCCGACAGAATATCAACTCTGGGAAAACCGAGGCTACGATTCGTCAACTGTGTACAGAGACGCAATATTGCGGCTATTGTCGTATCCCCCATGCGCTGTTGCTCTTCCCTTACTACCAGAGACACCGCGGGCAGCGGAATCCCATTACGTCGTCATCTTCCGCTGCAGAGTATACGCCGGCACGATGTATTCTCGCTGAAGGTCGAATCCGCGTTTGTTCACACAAGAGTCTCTCATATGAGGATCTTTGCGCTTGGAAAGCCTGGCTTATGAAGATGAACACGCCGCGGGTTGAACCGAAGGAAATCTCGGATTGGAGCTGTGTTCACTGTTATTGGGATGCTGAGCTTAGAGAGTCGGCAGATGCCACCAACGCGGGTCCCGCTACTCGATTTCTTGCCAAAGCGACTGGAGTAGCCGCGAGCGCGTTATCTCCAATCTGGGGCACAGTGGCTTCCCTGCTGGCTCCCCGTGGGTTGAAATCCCCAGGTCTCTTTATAAGTTCCCCAACAGACGTTTCCCAATCAGAACCTTGCTTCCTTATCCAGTGGACGCTGCCTATCCTAAGACTGGGCAGTTGCTGGCATAGTGGCAATGGTCTAGAGCGCATGACTCGGAGAGATGTCCAAGCTGCACTGGAAGTGGCTCAGAAGCGGCATCCTCGACTGTTATGTGGCCATGTATCTTTCACGGATGGGGCATTTCTTCGAGCCTTTTGCATTGATGGCTGCTCGTGTGAGTCCGTGGCTAATCATGACACACCTGTAATCGCTGTCAACTGTCATCTTCACTCGCACAACCCGAAGTTTACTGGAATCGGAACTGATCCATACATGCGATGCCATTGTGAAAGATCTCCCTCTCTTCGATGCGACTACATCCGCAGGCCAGCGACCCACTCATTGCGTAAATACGAGACATCGAAGGAAGAAATTGACTATAGTCTGGTCTCTGCCCACGGGGTCAGGTGTTGTAACTGTTCGATTGACTACGGCTGGCAAAGGTTTGGGAATCAATTTTTCATCAGAATGACACGAAAGTTGTCGAAATACCTTCTAGAACCAGAAGATGCCTGCAGCAACGCCCAATTCAGCCAATACCTCGACCCACACTCATACGGTATTCTTGATGACGAGGAGACGAAACACATCACCTGGTGCCAAGATCGAAGATGCAGTAATGGCCGGAATTACAGCAATCATCTACGGGAAGTATTCTCGGCTCACTCTACTGGAACATGTACAAGTAAGCTCTCCCTTCTATATTTATCTGTCGCACCATGAAGCCTTCAGGTCTGGCGATTGGGGACGACCATATAAATGCTGTCGGATTCTAATATCAAGCAAAGCTGTACACAATTTTTCGCCACGAATACTGCACACAGTTCAAAACAATTCTGATTCTTAATAAGATATTCCGAGATCAAATGTACTGCTGTCCTGGGCCTGATTTTTCATGATGACACCAACGGTCAAACTCTTCAGGCACCCTGCAACGGTCCTTCCTGCTACTTCTCGTTATGGTGCTTCAGCCAGCCCCCTCGGCTTCTTACCTTAACAGAAGGAGCGTTGTGGCAGTTGGACGGTCGATACTGAAGAAGTGGCTTGTGTTTTGTTATTGTTTTTTTTTCCGCCTTTGTGAGAACGACAGCGACGAAGAACAAGAAGAGACAAGAAGACAAGAAGACCAAGAAGACTAAGAAGACCAAGAAGGAGAATACAACGACGACAATGACTATGATAACGACGACGATGGCCTTTTGGGTCCAGTTGGTGACTAGTGTGCTCTACACCATAAGTATCATCCTCGTCCTGGTTCAGATATGGAACCATGGCCTTAATATCCTCGATTGGCGTACGTGATATTTCTTAAACGTTTCAAATGATAACAATATTAATTGAAGAACATTACAGACCGCAAGAAGGGCCCAGGCCAAGAAGAAGCAGCAGCATCAGCATCAGCAGCAGCATCAGCAGCAGCGGCAGAAGCAGCGGCAGAAGCAGAGGACCACCATCACCACCATCAACACCACCATCACCATCACCACCACCATCACTACCACCTCACCCTCCATCTCCATCTCCACCTCCACCTCCACCGCTATCCTGATCCTCCTCCTCCTTTCCCTCCTCTCCCTCCTCGACCACCACCACCTCTTCCACCTCTTCCTCCTCCTCCTACTCCCTCTCCTCCCCTGCCTCAGCAGCCTGAGCAGCCACGGCAGCCACGGCGGTCCGGAATTCCGCGCCCCGTGCGCCGCGATGCCACCACGCCGGCTGCTGACGATGGCGTGGAGTGGCCAACGACACACTCGCCGATGAGATTCGGCCTAAATTAGGCCAGAGAGAACCCGCCTTGCAACCACAAGGGCTTGGACTTGCTTCCTCGCCAGCCCTTGTGGCCTAGACCACCGGGGACTGTGGGTCAGACGCATGTGCCTTTCATCTGCACTGCGTACCCTGTCTAGGTCCAGTAGGTATCACCAGTACCGAAGCTAAAGCAGCCCCATTGTCTTCGAGTTATTCCAATCAAAGACAAAAAGCAAGGTGTCGTTTATAATGACTAGCAACGTGTATTAACGACAAGTGACTTCTCTCTGCGCACAAACTCGAATCGTCGAGAAGAAAGCATCTTTCCTTCTCTTGCCGCCGACAAAATCTTTTTCACCTTTGTGTTCCCACTTAAGCCCTATCGCCCAGCTGGTGTGATCCAGTCGTATCTGCGATATACCTTCATTTGTTGCTCAATCAACCTGATCAGAGTCTTCTTCACTTTCGCCTTCTTCAATCTCGACTTCTTCAATCGCGACTTCAATCGCGACTTCTCCAATCTCGTCCCGTTCAATCTTATCCTTCCCGGTCTCTTCTTCTTCGGTCTTGTCTACTTTGATCTTCTCAAGTCTTGTCCAGCCTCGTCTTGATCAGTATCTTCTCTTTCAGTATCTTCTTCTTCAGTATCGTTTTCTTCGGTCCTGTCTTTGTCGGTCTCGTCTTCTTCGATCTCTTCTTCTTCGGTCTCTTCTTCTTCAATCTCGTCTACTCCAATCTTGTCTTCTATCACTCGAACAACTACATCAACTTAGCCCTATCGGCCACCAAGTGTTTGCAGACCTTTGTATTCCTCAGTCAGGGCTTTCAACTTTGTCAAGGAGGTGGTCCTTTGCAAACCCACAGCTAAACTATTCTTTTGTATCTTGCTTGAAGTGCAAGCACATTTCAGTTCGGATCACCCACTCTTTCATCGAACAGGAGAAGAGCTGGAAGACAAGCGGTCTTGACATCAGGGTACACCAAATTGGCCATCTGAAGGTCACTAGGCAGTTAGGTCCGCAGCGCTAGACCAAAGCAATCATACCATTGAGATTGAAGCCATCAAAAACCTCGTTCATAAATACCACGGACAAAGTCCCCGGGAAAACAATTGGGAAACGGGAAACATGATATGTCCATCTCTGCCCGGGCGCGTTGGTTTGCAAGAGCACTTTAGTCCTTAAACGCCGCTTCCTCCTCCAATGCCCATAACTTATCCCGTTGGGGGTTTGCTATTTCTTTGTTCTTCTTCACTTGAACAATCGATCTCTCTTCATTACCACCGCACTAACGAAAATCACGGATTCGGGGAGGTTCACAGAAATTGAATCCCGCCTATGGGGTTACTTACTGTATGTAGCAGGCATGTAGCTTTACGGTACTGAGCAAGGGAGGGATTTTTCCTACAGAATGCAGAGCCTGGAATGAACTAGCGGCGTTGAATCTCAAGACTACCTTGAACATGGTGTTGATTTTTGGGTTCTCGGTAACAGCAAGAGGCTAAAGCAAGCGTAAGAAATGCCAAATCTGGATAACGAATGCCTCAAGCTGGGGCTCTGGTTGGCCTCATCAGGGGCTTGGATTTTGCACTAGTGGAATAGGTATCCGCATTGCATTCATGCTAATAGACACGAGGTTGGACCATAGGTGAACGGGTATTTTTGGTGAATGCTATGTTTCCTCATAAATTCTTGATTCTCCTGCCGCACTGTGGCGTCAATTTCCCCGTGCCCTTTGTAATCTCTTTACATCGATTTCCACCGGGGCAGCATGTTCATTACTAGAATACGACCAGCCGCATTCCTGTCGCAGGCCTTGTGGAAGATGAGTGCACGAGCGTCTCAGACCTCTTCCTATCCTGCAAATGCTGCTGTCCGAACCCTACACACAGGATCTCCTCATCAGCACGGAAAGTATGCCCGGACAGATGCTGATGTCGAGATTGAGTATCCAGAGGAGCCCGACATCCCTTCGTCGGCCCCAATACGTGGGCTCCCCGGACAATACGTGAAGCCAACATTGGCAAGCTTCTCTCTTGATGGTACTGTAGGCATCGTCACCGGGGGTGCTCGAGGCCTGGGCCTGGTCATAGGCCAAGGCATGGTATTCTCTGGAGCAGATATCGCGCTCGTTGACATGAACAGTAGGTTCCCTTAACACATGGATCAATAATGGCGAGGGCAGCCTAATCTAACAAATATTTTCCAGAGGACGAGGCTGAAAAGCAATGCCAACTTCTTGTCGATGCATTTGTCAAGGAGAACCCAAATGCTGAACGGTGAGTTTGATTGAATTGATGCGAAGCGGCAGTCGACTGAGGTGAATACAGCATCCCTATAGTTACAGCTCACTACTCTGATGTCGCTGACCCAGGATCTGTGGATGCCTGCATCGCCGAGGTGCTGGAAAAGCATGGCAGGATTGACAGCCTAGTCACATCCGCAGGCTTTGCAGAGAACTTTGAAGCCATCAGCTACCCAACCGATCGCATGCGCAAGCTTTGGGCCGTCAATGTTGACGGGACTTATTTGTTTGCTACCGCAGTCGCGAGACACCTCATGGAACGCAAAGCCCCTGGGAGCGTCGTCATGATTGGTAGTATGTCTGGGGCCGTTGTCAACGTTCCTCAACCACAGGCGTAGGTCGACATCTTCCCTTCCTTCTAACCAACTGCACCCTGTTGATCCTCATTCTAGCCCTTATAATGCATTCAAGGCGGCCGTGAGACAGCTGGTTGCTTCTCTGGCAGTGGAATGGGCCTACGCTGGTATCCGTGTCAATTGCATCTCTCCTGGCTACATGCTCACCGCATTAACCCAAAAGATTATGGATGATAACCCTGACCTCCGCCAGAAGTGGGTGTCGCTTATTCCACGAGGCAAAATAGTGAAGCCCGAGGACTTAATAGGAACAGTCACCTCCTTGCTGTCTATCAAGCCGTTACATTACTGGGGCTGACATCCGTGTTGACGGAGGCTACACCATTACCTGGGTGGAGGCGGAGTTGGCTCAATGTAATACGATGGTATTTCTGCTGGGTTGCCTTATTAATGAAACATGTTTCTTGATGCTAAAAGTACTGAATGGATCAACTTAGTCGAGTGATGCTCAGGGCAGTACCAAATTTTCTCAATGAACTTGTACTTGGCGCCACAGTTTTACCGCCTGTTCAATTGGGGCATGGGGATAACCCGGTGCGCCAAGATTTCGACTTTGTTTTTTGACATAATATGGCACTATCCGTAGTGCCTGGCCGTATTGCCCAAAACAAATTTGTCCCGTTTTGGTAGTTAAATACGAAGTCTCCACAAAGGAAGGGAATCTAGCGAATCATCCATTACGGCAAAAGTAAGGGCCAGTGGAACCCTTCAGTTATGAAATGACTAACAAGATTGAAGGTTTGATCCGGTTTTCGCTTCGTTGCCCTGTTGAAACCTCATCGTGATGTGATTATAATGCTCGACTTGACGCGGCCTTGCTCTTTTGGCTCTAGCCTCTAATTCAACCATTCGTTTGTAATGAACATCTAATATTGCTTCAACCATTCCTTAGTCTTTTCTCATAGTATTGCCTTGCTGCTTAGGGTAGGGGTGCTCCGTCGGCTTCCGGCATGTCGTCGTCTGTCCGGATACATGACTCGCATGGCAGGGAACACGACTTGATGCTGCGGGTAGATGCACTCAGGGACTTTGGGGCTGTTGCGAATATTGATTGACAGAGTGGTTGTATCTTGACAGGACTCAGTTAGACCAAGTAAGCTATTTGGCTCGTCGCTTAGGTAGTACGTCGCCCCGTAACAAGCCGAGAGCGTTCAATTTGTCCACCAAACATTCCCGACATCTGGTTTCAATGCTCGGGCCGGCTACCATCATGACCACCGCGGCTCGTAGTTTCTTGTAGGGAGCCCCGCAATAGGAGTGGTGACAATGAGTCCGCCTTGATGCCCGGCTCGGAGCTGGTCTAGTTCATTCTAATGGATATCTATCTCATGCTGTAGAGTGATTGTCTCAGCATCGTCTTCAGATAGATGAAACCGGCGCCAAGCATCCTCGGGATCATTGTGAATGCTGATCAAGGAATCGATGCATCGGTCACGAGGGGCTTGAAAGTATTTAGCTCGTTTCGCATCGCGTAACACTGTCCCCAACACATGAAATAGCTGGAGGAGTTTGAATGCTTTGCAAAATATAAGAAAGACATCCTTTGGAGAAATACTTGCCTGGGAGATTTGGCAGAGATTAGCTACCCAATGCCCTCGTTATCCATGCGATTAATCTTAATATATTCATGTTTTTTCAGATCGTGATGCAATGGCATCGGCCATTTTGGGGCTATCAGTTGATCAATACACGGTGAGTGTAGGCTATTCACTCCCCCTTTTCTATATATTATTCCGTCAGTGAAATATATTAATTATCAAATTATAAGGAATTTGAATCTTTGTTCAAACTGGTGTTTATTTCGGCGAGATCGCTTAAGTTGGAGGAGGTGATACACTCAGTCGGTAGGTTAGCCCAAAACTTATCTACTATTTAAGTACAGTATAACCACATTATTCTTTCTACAAAAGGACCATGTATGGAGCGGCCTGGGCGCTTTTGGGCTGTTTATACGTTTGCCATCATTGATGAGTGATGGGTTTGCATGCATGATCCATGACAGAACTAGTGGAAGCGTAGCGAATTTCAATTAAAACTTATCCAGTAATGGCATAGCAATCTGATAGATCCTGGTTACAACTGATTATGCAAATTTTCCTTTAAATGACAAGCTTATTTGGTGCATTTGGCTCCAACTGTTCATCCCACAGGTTGATATTCCACATCAAAGGTGTGACTGGATTTCAACGTTAGTGGGTAATTATGTCTAACTGGCCTGGATTAGACTAACATGTCGTTGATATTGTGCCGACGCCGTACATTTCCAATCTCGTCAATGGTCTTGATATCATCTTCAGACAGCTCGATTTCCTGGAAGTTGGACTGGATGCGGGACAGTGTAACGGATTTAGGGATGACGCTATGGCCGCCTATCTGTGCCCATGCAAGTCTGGTAAAAGTCATCAGCAAATGCTTCTCCCTCATTTCAGTAGATGGATAGAGAGTATCATACAGGACTTGTGCAGGAGTGGCTCCCTTCTTTTCAGCAACTGCTTTGACATTAGGGTGCTCCAAGAGAAGGGGGGGG